TTTAAATATATGATGGTTTTCTTTTCTTTTTGAGACAGTCTCGCTCTGTCACCCAGGCTGGAGTGCAGTGGGGCAATCTCAGGTCACTGCAGCCTCCGCCTCCTGGGTTCAAGTGATTCTCCTGCCTTAGCCTCTCGAGTAGCTGGGACTACAGGCATGTGCCACCACACCTAGCTAATTTTTTGTATTTTTAGTAGAGACGGGGTTTCATCATGTTAGACAGGATGATCTCGATATCCTGACCTCATGATCCGCCCGCCTCGACCTCCCAAAGTGCCGAGATTACAGGTGTGAGCCACCTTGCCTGGCTGATGGCTTTCTTTTTAATGATTTCTAGAGCCTTTAACATGAAAAAGTGGAAAATGAAAGGAAACTATAATAGATTTCTTATCCAAAATGGGTATTCTTTGTAAGATGAAAAGTAGAGACAAGCTGAGACCCTGAGTTATGGATCCAAAGGTCACATCACAGCCAGCATTAGAAAGTCACAGCACTAGTGGAAGAAAAGGCGGAAGTAAACTACTAATGGGAATGTTTTCAAAGGAGCTCACTTGGAAAGGCCATTCTATCACCCGAGGTTTTTTTTTTTCTTTTTTGGTGGAAGTGGGGTAGTCCTTCATAAGGAAATTACATTATGTTCAATCAGATGTACAGGAGCAGAAATCTTTTATTTTTAAATTATGAAGTATGTCATATGCATAAAAAGAAGTGGAATAATATAATGTATACTTGTTAGCTTGAAAAGTTGAACATTATAATTGCTGCCCCCAAGTCCCCTTCCTTAGTCTTCTCTCCCAAAAGTAACATTCTCTTGAATTTGATGTTTACCATCGCATGAGTGTGTTTATCCTTTTGTTACACACACACACACACACACACACACACACACACACACACACACACCCCTCTTATATAGTTTCATAAGAATGTTTTAAAACCTTATGCAAAACGTATTATACTGGCTGGGCGTGGTGGCTCACGCCTGTTACTCACACTTTGGGAGGCTGAGGTGGGTGGATCACCTGAGGTCAGGAGTTCGAGACCAGCCTGGCCAACATGGTGAAACCCCGTCTCTACTGAAAACATAAAAATTAGCTGGACGTGATGATGGGTGCCTGTAATCCGAGCTACTTGGGAGGTTGAGGCAGGAGAATCACTTGAACCTGGAAGGTGGAGGTTGCAGTGTGCCAAGACTGAGCCATTGTATTCCAGCCTGGGCAACAAGAGCAAAACTCCATCTCCAAAAAAAAAAAGGTGTTACACTGTATGTATCCTTCTGCAAATCTTTTTTTTGAACAGAGTCTCTCTGTCACCCAGGCTGGAGTGTGGTGGCATGATCTTGGCTCACTGTAACCTCCACCTCCTGGGTTCAAGTGAGTCTCCTGTTTCAGCCTGAGTAGCTGGGATTACAGGTGTGTGCTCCCACACCTGGCCAATTTTTGTATTTTCAGTAGACACGGGATTTTGCTGTGTTGGCCAAGCTAGTCTCGAACTCCTGACCTCAAGTGATCCACCTGCCTCGGCCTCCCAAAGTGCTGGGATTATAGGCATGAGCCACTATACCTGGTCCTTTTTTTTTTTTTTTCTTAATACTTTAAAAAAACATATTAGGCTAGCACAGTGGCTCACACATGTAATCCCAGCACTTTGGGAGGCTGAGGTGGGAGGATTGCTGAGGCCAGTAGTTTGAGGTTACAATGAGCTATAATTGGGCCATTGCGCTCCAGCATGGGGACAGAGCAAGACTCTGTTTCTTAAAAAAAAAAAAAAATAATAACTTATTTAGTTGATACATGTGGTTCTGGTTCATTCATTTTTTAACTGCTTTGTGGCATTTCTGTCTCTATTCTATATACTTAAACGTCTATTGACTGACAGACTTTTTACTGAATATTCTGGGGGACAGGAAAGAGGAATTTATTATGTCATTTTTAAAGTTAGACTAGGAATGTTGCTTTGACTTTCAAAAAAGCCAGTTTCCTTTTTTGGTGTGGAATGTCCTCGTTTATCATATTCCTGGGAAAATCCTTTATACTTCCTGAGAGAAGGCAGAGAAGAAGAATGTTTTATTACACAGTTGAACGTGTCTTTTGCAAAATGCAGAGCAGCATCTGCCACAATCCAGTGAGCTCAGGGGTGGTTGAGCTGCTGCAACAAAAGCCTGGGTTATCAAAAGTCTCAGATTTTTCAAGTGCACACAAGCTGTGGGTGGAAATTTGTTGGCATTAATTCATTGTTTCTTTTCTGTGTGTTTGGAATTATCTGAAATTTGGGTACGATCTGCTTTATTTTGTAAAAGGAGATGCGCCTTTTATGGTAAAAAGGCTGTTCTTAAATTGTGTTATGGTTTTATGGGGCAAGCACAAGAAAAGTAAGATGTAGATATGAGAGGACACACTTTTTGAGACAGTTGGTGTGAAATAAATATTTGTTTTAATAAATCTTCTGTATGCATTAGTCAATGTATATTCTTACTTTGAAGTCATTGTTTTAAAAAGACAATCTGATAAAATTTTTTATCTTCTCAATTTCATGCTGTTGTCTTTCTTTTCCAACATTCTTGATAATGGTTTGAGCATTTTTGCAGAGTACACAGTGCAGAGCTTCATTCAGGTTGTCCCTCCAAATGATTTATTGTAGTGCATTAACCAGAAATGCTGAGGTAGCAAGGGAAACACTAATAAATGGGATGGTTTCCAGGGACTGTAGGCAAGCAAACACAAGCCAAAATTAAAAAGAAAACGTGAGTTAGGCACCCAAGATATAAGTCTGGCCAGATACGCTATTAACAGTGAATCTTCCATTCTCATTAAATTGTTTGAGATCTGTACAATTTGAAGATTGTTAGAAATGGTGACCAATTTGAAGCATATTTTAATTAGGGGTTATACAATAGTCTTTTGGCTAAAACATAATTAGAATGAAAACATACTTTTGCTTATTTTATTCAGTGCCTCAGCAATGATTAAACTCAGCTGCCTGTTTGTTTCTTCCATTGTTCTGATGGGAAAGAGTGCTGAATGGATCTCCAGTAATAGAAGAGGTTTTTTATTTTTGGTAGAAATGATTAGATGGAAGGAGGAAAGAGAATATTGCTAATTCAGAATGATTTATTTTTTCACTAGTGCTGGCTTTCTTGCTAACTACACAAATTATACTTTTGTAATAATTTTCACAAATTATTTTACCTTTGAAAAGTATATGTATGGGGAGAAAAGATAGTGGTATGTGAAATGGCATTTTGCATTTTTTTGTTTTGGAATGGTTTCCAGTCATTTTCAAACAGAACCCCTAAACCAGAAAGTTGTGTGGCTTGGCAAATGAACCAGAATTTAAAAAAAAAATTTAGCGCACCAAGATTTCTAAATTTTGTAAATTTGTTTCTGAAACTAGTGAAAGCCTGAAATTAGTGGATAACCTAAGACTTTTTTAATTTAAAAAATTTACTTCTTCATTGTTTATTAGGGTTCTATCAGTTTTTTTAATATTCCAGAAGCACAGAGATGGGGTGAAAATTTTTTTCCTTCTTTTTATTTTTTATTTTGAGTTGGAGTCTTGCTCTGTTGCCCAGGCAAGAGTGCAGTGGTGCAATGTCGGCTCACTGCAATGATTTCAGCTCACTGCAACCTTCGCCCCCTGGGTTTAAGCAATTATCCTGCCTCAGCTTCCCAAGTAGCTGGGATTACAGCCCCCCCACCACCATGCCTGGCTAATTTTTGTATTTTTAGTAGAGATGGGTTTTCACCATGTTGGCCAGGCTGATCTCTAACTCCTGACCTCATAATCCTCCTGCTTCAGCCACCCAAAGTGCTGGGATTACAAGTGTGAGCCACCGCGCCTGACCAATTTTTTTTCCTTCTTTAATCTAATAATATATATCTATATATATTTATGAATTTTTTTTATTTATTTATTTATGTATTTTTGAGATGGAGTCTCACTCTGTTACCCAGGCTGGAGTGCAGTGGCGCGATCTTGGCTCACTGAAACCTCCACCCCTTGGGTTCAAGTCATTCTCCTGCCTCAGCCTGCGAGTAGCTGTGATTACAGGTGCACTGAACCCAGCTAGTTTTGTATTTTTAGTAGAGATGGGGTTTCAATATCTTGGTCAGGCTGGTATTGAACTCCTGACTGCATGATCTGCCCACCTCAGCCTCCCAAAGTGCTAGGATTACAGGTGTGAGCCACTGAGCTTCACCCTAAAAATATTTCTAAAAGAATTAGTTTACGAGTTGCTACCTCAGATCTGCCCGAATCTTTTTTTTTTTTTTTAAAAGAGAATGGGGTCTTGCTTGTTGTCCAGGCTAGCCTTGAACTCCTGGGCTCAAACAGTCCTCCTGCCTCAGGTTTTTGAATAGTTGGGACTATAGGCACATATCACCACACCCAGCTAACTCCCAATTTTTATATCTGTTGAGCTTATCATGTGATGATCAAACATTTTATTTATTTATTTTTGAGATGGAGTTTTGCTCTTGTTGCCCAGGCTTTAGTACAATGGTGGGATCTCAGCTCATCACAACCTCCGCCTCCCAGGTTCAAGCAGTTCTCCTGCCTCAGCCTCCTGAGTAGTTGGGATTATAAGCATGTGCCACCATGCCCGACTAATTTTGTATTTTTATTAGAGACGGGGTTTCTCCATGTTGGTCAGGCTAGTCTCGAACTCCTGAGAGCCCAAGCAATCTGCCCGCCTTGGCCTCCCAAGGTGCTGGGATTACAGGCCTGAGCCACTGTGCCCAGTCCAAATATTTAATACTTTATTTCTGAAAAAAGTATTCCAGAGTTTCTTAGAGTTAATCTAGATTTATTCTAGATTACAGCTCTTTCTTATAAAAGTGCTCTCTTGTCCTAAGGGTCACTGCAATAATTAGTGGCTAAGAATGACCTAAACTAGGTCTTTTTAGACTCTCTTTTCTTTGGCATTATATCCTGAGGTACCCACATTAGCAGGCTCAGGCCTTTATCTTTGACATTTACTTTACTTTTTTCTATTCTTTTAGGTCTTTCACTACCATTCCTACAGTGATTGGCAAGATACCTCACTCTCCATGTACCATGCCAGTGACATCTTAGCTGCTAGAGTGTGGAGCTGGCCTGTGGGAGTCAAGTAAGTGCCTTTTTTACTATTTGGCATGGTTTTTGCTTACTTTGCAAAGCCATGTAGAGGAGCTTCTTAAGATTAGTTTTTAAAAAGGCACTTGCTTGATCCTTGTGGGCTGGCTCTTTGCTCCAGCCTGCTGTTGAACACCTGGTAGCTAACATGGGGCTGAGTTTAGTGAGGTGACTGTTGCACAATGGAATATTTTTACTATGGTAGACCCTAAGGGATGATAGATCTGATCTTAGCCTGCTTAGACCATATTGGTGAACAACCCCAATAAATCAGAGCTATGCTATCTCAAACAGTTACTCTGCCTCCTGGAAATTTAATAGGGTATGGATGACCAACGGTTTGCTGGTATAAACCAACCAGATTGCGTGGAGACAGGGCAGCTCTCCTAGGAAAGGCAATGATCTTGGCGTTTATTTTAATTAATTTGGCTTAATATATGGAAGAAGTAAAAGTTGATGTTAATCAGGTATAGGTTTCTGTGTTTATCACTAAAGTTGCTAAAACCTGGTATCTTACTTTTGCAGGTCATCCTGTAAAATTTGCCTGTATAAATTAACACATCCCCTGTATGTCATAACAACCATGTAAGGGAGAGTGTTTTCCTGCTCTGTCTTAGGTATTGGTGATGTGACCTGTTCATGCAGGGGAAACTTGAACACTCGCAGGTATGTGAAGATCATGATTCATAAGCGTTTTCTCCCTGCAAGCAAAACAGTTTATTTTGGTGTGAACTCATGTGGTTTTATGAAATCTATATTGCCAGTTGATTTTTCTGCCCCCTGTTACTGTAGAACAGGTGTTGACAAACTGTAGCCTAAATGGTTGCTTGATTTTTGTAAACAAAGTTTTATTGCAATGCAGACATACCCATTTGTTTACAGATTGTCTATAGTTGCCCTGGCACTGTAACAACAGAGTTGAGTTGTTACAACAGAGACTATATAGTCCATAAAGCCTAAAATATTTATTATTTGGCCCTTTAAGAAAACATTTGCCAACTCCTACTAGAGGCAGACCAAACTTCAAATTGTGTTTAGAAATAAGCTTGCTAGAAGCACAGTCGTTTTCAAATTGGCTTCTAAAGAGAAAACCAGGAAAGCCAGGACCTGTGTCATAATGCTGACTAGCAAGTAAATATTTGCAGTATGTATAGTGGTATGGTTACTAATACAAGGTTAATGAAATGGAAAGCTATGACAGCAGTCCAGCTTCTTTATCTTTTATTTCATTCATTATGTTCTCTCTTTCACTGACTCTTATCTGTCTTTCTCTTTGCTTTCTCACTGGGTGTAGGCATTCATTCAGTAGCAGGATATTATTATTAATGGATTCTCTAAAGGTTCATAGGCTGGGCATGATGGCTCACATGTGTAATCTGAATGCTTTGGGAGGCCAAGTTGTGAGGATCGCTGGAGTCCAAGAGTGCCTGACCAGCTTGGGCAATATAGTGAGGCCCCATTAAAAAAAATTTTTGTTGGGCATGGTACCATGCCTTTGTATTTCTGGTTACTCAGGAGGCTGAGGTGAAAGGATTGCTTGAGTCCAGGAAATTTGAGGCTGTAATGAGCTGTGATCACACCATTGTACTCCAACCTGGATGCAGAGCAAGACCCTGTTTCTGAAAGAAAAGAAAGAAAGGACCTTCAGATTCATGGAATAATTATTATAGTTAAAATACCACTCAAGGTAATGGAAATTGAGGACCAGAATTATTCAAGGATCACAGAGCAAGTTAGTATCCTACTACTGAAACCAGAGGCTAGGTCTCCTACCTGCTTTCCTAGGGTTCCTTTCACTAGATCTCACACCATATTAGAGGATTCTTGTTTTCCCTACTAGTTGAAAGGTACAAAGGCTATTTCCCACCCACTCCCCCACACCAAAAGTAAAAGCAAAGACTTGATGATTTGAACTACAAAGATATGGTTGTGAGAGTATGGGTCTTACTTGGAGTTTGGATGCTTTTATTGTTTGAAGATAACTAGGGGATTGCTTCTTAATGAGTCACTAAGTACTTATAGTATATACTCAGAAAGCTTGGCTTAGATGGAATAAAAAAAGAAGTTAGAGCCTTGTTCATAATTTTGAAGCTAGGAGCAAAACTAAAATTGGCATAGATAGAATTCTTTCCTCATATATCTATGTATCTAAGACCATAGATGGAAAGTGTATTTGTGTATGTGTGTGTGGGTATGTGTGTCTAACAGCTTTTAAAGTGCATCTGGATTGCATTCTGAAAGGAGTTTAGCAGGTGTATCACAATCTGCAGATTATGTTGCAGAGTTTTAATTGGACTTTTAAAAATAAATTTTATTTTAGAACAGTTTTAGATTTACAGAAAAATGGCAAAGATCATACACAGAATTCCTATATGTCCTTCATCTTCTCCTATCGTTAACATATTACATTACTTTGGTACATTTGCTGCAATTAATGAACCAATCCTGATACATTATAATTAACTAAAGTGCATACTGTATTCAGATTCCCTTAGTTTTTGCCTACTGTTCTTTTTCTGTTCTTGGATTAAACAAATTTTTATTAGCATGTTTGTTGAAGTAGAAGGTAGGCTAGTTCTGAAGTCTCCTTCAGTTTCTGAGTCTATTTAAATTAGTATACTAGGCAAAGTTAGGACTTGTAATGTTTATATTCTCCTGTAACATGTTGGGAAAAAAATTGTTACTTATTAATAGTGATGGCTCTTCAATTGTTAGTTTGTAAATTTTAGCATCATCAATTTCAGAAAGGACAAGATGGATTTGGTTACTTCTGTTATTAAGTATCATGTGTAAATTGCTGGTGAAAACTTTCTAAAGTAAATTGCCTCCTTTGGGAATGATGGGGATCAGCTATCCTACATCAATAAGTTTTCTCCTCTGAAAGTAGTTTTGGAGTCTGTACCTTCTGATGAATCTATTAATCATTCGTATTTTCCTATGAAGTTTTATTGTTTGTTTGTTTTTTGAGACAGAGATTCACTCTTGTTGCCCAGATGGGAGCACAATGGTGCAATCTCCGCTCACCACAACCTCTGCTTCCTGGGTTCAAGCTCTTCTTCTGCCTCAGCCTCCCAAGTAGCTGGGATTACAGGCATCCACCACCACTCCCGGCTGATTTTGTATTTTTAGTAGAGACGGGTTTCTCCATGTTGGTCAGGCTGGTGTCACATTCCCGACCTCAGGTGATCTGCTTGTTTCAGCCTCCCAAAGTGCTGGGATTACAGGTGTGAGTCCCTACACCCAGCCCCCTATGAAGATTTTAAAATATATTTTTTTAAAAGTTCATTAGTTATTTACAAAAGTTGAACAAATGCATGCCCTATGACTCAGTAGTTCCATTTCTAGATTTATACAAAACAGAATTATGTGTCTGTATTCACCAAAAGACATGGACGGAAATGTTCATGGCAGGTCTAATAGTCCACTTGGAATTTTCCAAGTGCCCATCAACAGTAGAATAAGGGGGCCAGGTGAGGTGGCTCACTTCTGTAATCTCAGCACTTTAGGAGACTGAGGTGGGCGGATCACTAGGTCAGGAGTTTGAGACCAGCCTGATCAACATGGTGAAACCCCCGTCTCTACTAAAAATACAAAAATTAGCTGCGCGGGGTGGTGGGCGCCTGTAATTCCAGCTACTTGGGAGGCCGAGGCAGGAGAATCACTTGAAACCAGAAGGCGGAGTTTGTAGTGATCTGAGACTGTGCTATTGCATTCCAGCCTGGGCGAAAGAGCAAAACTCCATCTCAAAACAAAAAAAAAAATCAGTAGAATAAGTATATAATTTAGACATATCCACACAATGATTATTAAACGGTGATCAGAATGAACAGATTATAGCTGCATATAAAAATACATGGTTCTCACAAGTAGCATGATGAACAAAAGGAGCCAGACACTAACAGCACATGATCCCATTTATATAAATTCAAAAGCAGGTAAAACTAATCAATAGTGTCAGAAGTCAGGAGGTTGATTACCATTGTTGGAGAATGGGGAAAGTATTTGACAGAGGGTATGAAGGGGGTTCCCAGGGAGCTAGTAGTGTTCTGTCTCCTGGTTTAAGCATTGGTTACATGGGTTGGTTCATTTTGTGAAAAATCATCAAGTTTACACTTTTTCATTTGCATGTTATTCAAAAAGTATATACAAAAAGTATTAAAAGTATTAGCAATTCTGGAAAAATCACAACATTTCACTGTTAACATTTAAAGGATATATGGAGAACCAATTGAACAAATGAACCTTTTAGAATATATGCTCTCAGAATTATAGGCTTATCAAGACACTATTGTGTTACTGGAGCTGTTACAGTCTTCTTTGTGTTACAAGAAGAATAAAGTAGCTATTGTTAATAATGTCTTTTTATTGTAACCAGGTTTTTGGGATGCCCCAAAGGAGGACATCTTTTCTTTTTGGTCTATTTTGAGTCACCAAGTCAAAAAGTTTATCTTTTTTAACAATAGCTACTTTATTCTTCTTGTAGGAGACAGAGTTTCACTCTTGTTACCCAGGCTGGAGTGCAATGGCGCGATCTCGGCTCACCGCAACCTCCGTCTCCTGGGTTCAGGCAATTCTCCTGCCTCAGCCTCCCGAGTAGCTGGGATTACAGGCACGCACCACCATGCCCAACTAATGTTTTGTATTTTTAGTAGAGACGGGGTTTCACCATGTTGACCCAGGATGGTCTCGATCTCTTGACCTCGTGATCCACCCGCCTCAGCCTCCCAAAGTGCTGGGATTACAGGCTTGAGCCACCGCACCCGGCTATTCTTTTACTACAGTAAAGAATGATCAGCCAAGTAGTTGTGCCTTCGGAATATTCGTGTGTTTACGAGTGCTGGTATGTTTTCCTTCCCACTGATTGTTATATCAGCAAGTGAGCTGCAGTCTTGCATGTGTGTGTATTTTACATGTTCTTTTGGCTTTTAAGATATCACTTCACACATAACCAGAATTTAGAGTGTTTTTCCCAAACAGAGCCCTTTTTGTGACTTTTCTTATTGTCACTTTTGGTTTTTCCAGTGACTTGAGGATAAATCACCTCAAGCATTTATCCTTTGTATTACAAACAGTACAATTATATTATTTAGTTATTTAAAAATATACAGTTAAATTATTATTGACTATAGTCACCCTGTTGTACTATCAAATTCTAGGTCTTACTCATTCTTTTAATTACTTTGTACCCATTAATCATCACCACTTCCCAAGAATTTTTATTGGTTGATTAGTTGATTGATTGAGATGGCAGCCTTGCTGTGTTGGACAGGCTGGTCTTGAGCTCTTGGCCTCAAGTGACCCTCCCACTTCAGCCTCCCGAGTAGATGTGACTGACTACAGGCACAAAATACTACGCCTATCTAATTAAATTTGTTTTTGTAGAGACGAGGTCTCACTAGGTTGCCCAGCTGGTCTTGAACTCCTGGCCTTAAGCAATCCTCCCACTTTGGCCTGGGACTACAGGCATGAGCCACTGTGCCTGGCCAATAATGTTTTTGATAACCAGTGACTGCTTACTAACTTTCAGTTTGTGTGACATGCCATACGTATATGATTTTATTTCATTTATTCTGTGCAACAGTCCTGTAAAGTAGGAACTATAATTTCTACTACTGAAGAAATAAAGACAGGAAGTTCTATGTAACTTGCCCAAGCTAGTAAGTGAT